TCGCGCACCAATATAGTAAACGTTATGTAATGATATTATAGTGTATTGAAAAGTTCACTAGATACCTCCATACACATATATACACATCTAACGCTAACCCCAACTTTAAACCTAACCCTAACCTAACCCCTAACCCTAATACCTAAACCCTAACCCCTAACCCTAACTTATATTGGTGCGCGAAACATGGAACGATAACCGAATTATAGAAGGCTGCTTGAAATACACTAAAAACGAAATATTTGAATGCTGTTCTTAGGGTTTGTAATCCAAGTGAGTATATATATACATTTTAAGACCTGACCAGGAACCACTGCGAAAAATGCAGCACAAGGTCCTCTGGTAGGAATTGAACCTACGGCCCTGCGATTCCGGTGCGGTGCTCTAACCAACTGAGCTACAGAGGCCGGCTGTTGAGCTGTAACCGTAAGTTCATGTAAATATAGGTGACCGGGTGTGCGGGTTGTGATAAGGTGGACTTCAATGATCTAGTTTCTTGCACTTCACTTGGTGGTATTAATATTTGAATGCTGTTTTTAGGGTTTGTAATCCAAGCGAGTATATATATACATGAACTTACGGTTACAGCTCAACAGCTGGCCTCTGTAGCTCAGTTGGTTAGAGCGCTACACCGGAATCGCAGGGCCGTAGGTTCAATTCCTACCAGAGGACCTTGTGCTGCATTTTCGCAGTCGTTCCTGGTCAGGTCTTAAAATGTATATGTATACTCACTTGTATTACAAACGCTAAGAACAGCATTCAAATTTTAATACCACCAAGTGAAGTGCAAGTTTTCAAATAGAATGATTCGGCAAATTTGGTTTCAATATCGACAAAATATTGAAAAAATCGTCCCCAGAAAACGAAAGAAGCCCAAAATGTTGTATTTAACTTGAAAGGTAGGATTCCTTTATCATTTTACTGTGTCAAACATATTCACGGACAATTTAAAACTTATTTAAAACTCCAAAACATTCACTTCAAACAAATAGCAAAAACCATCCCGACTTTTGGGAAAAACCTTGCCGTGATATTCTTTAAAATCCATTTTATTTTGTATGCTATAGCCGTATAGATTTCCCATTTTGTACGATAATATTTCTTTTGATATGTCATGTTTTCATTGTGCTATATGGTGTTCTGACCGCTGTATTGTGTTTTCGAAACTTGTAAAGGAAAAAGTGTTATTAAAACTTTATTTCGAACGATATAGTTTTACATTTCATTTTACCAAATTCCTCAGCCATTTCCTGAAGAAATTAATGCTAAACAGAAGCTATTTTTAATTCTAAGTCTGGTGAAAGAGTCATTCCGTTATTGTGTTTATATTCCAAGCAGAAATCGAGAAAAACAACTTTGTAATAAAGCAATAAAGTCACACAAGAAGCCATTTTGAAAGCGTGTGCGTACCAGAAACACTGCAACAATATTAGTGAACAGGCCGAAAACAGTTTTATTTCTGAAATTTAATTGAACTGATATTCGGATATTTTGTTTTATTCATTAAAAATTTATACTAAAACAATTATTCGCCTCAGGCTCAGTGATTACGGTGAATATTCACCTCGACTTCGTCTCGGTGAATATTCACCGGTAATCACTTCGCCTTCGGCGAATAATTGTTAAATATTACCTTTTACTTAGTACACAAAGGTGGGCTGCTGTGACGCCTGGTGAACTTGGGCATGACCTAATTCAACAAAACTAGCCGATAAAATATTCCTAAACGCTTCTCAAGCCGTGGTTATACCTATTTATGTTTATTCAATCTTCCTAACTTGTAAAATCCTTCCCCTCGCATTTCCTTGATGAATTAGAACAAGTTAATGTAAACTAGAGTACTTTCTCCGAACTCGTTAGTCGATCTGCCCTGAAACCAAACCGTTAAAATTTGAATATTTCAAACTTCGTAACCGCACCACTGACCACTCGTTAAAATATTTCTCCTCAACCTCCTGATCTATTAATTAATTGAACGTGATTATATCAGGAGTGTTGAGGAGAAATATTTTAACGAGAGGTGCGGTTTTAATTTTTTCAGAATATTTTACATTATATAAAGTGTACATTATATCACATTCTCATGATGTTTTTATATCATTATATCAAACTAAATTCTAAAACCACCCCCAAATCACACATAATCCATAAAGAAAACTAAATAAGTTATACTTTATAATTTAAAGTACATGTTTAATGCAAAATACAATAAAATTAAAAAATAAATAAATACCAACACAGAGCCTGGGCCACTGTGCAAAATGGCGCCGAATTTGAACAAAGTTCAGGTTTTACCTTGTCGATGGTTATGCACCTATCAATGTTTTCCCCCTGGGAGGGCGGGGGGGGGGGGCTGCGGGAAACCTAGGGGCCATTTTGACATTTTTAAAATTTTGTAGTCAAAATCCCCACTGTTGGCCATCACGGCGATCTACTCTCCCTTGCATAAACATTTAGGAAGTCCATCTCGGGGATCTACTACCCCTTGCATGGTAAAGTCCAACGCGCGGGAATCACGACCCCCTGAAAACATATAATTATATCATAATCATATTACTGTATTGTGAGACTGTGACCTGGGATACACTTTGGCCACAGTTTAAAGTACAATCGCAGCATTTCTCCTGGGCAACCCTTCTCCAACAGTGATTGTGTGTCGTTTTCTTATAATTGTCTTAGAATATTTGCTTAATTTATTAACGAATTGGTGCATTAATCGCAACTTTTTGTTAGTACGTCTGCGGCGTTTTAGACGCAGTTCGTCAGCGTTATTGATGAAGACAAAAGGTTTCAATTGGTTTTATTTCAATTGCTTGCTTGTCCGTGTTTTAAAGAAGATAAGAGGACAGCTTGTTGCATTTGAACAATTAAAGTCCAAAATTAAATCGTGCTGAACATTGCATGTAGCAAGGATGATCAGAGGAAGATCATTATGTAGTTGTCGCTAAGTAATTAATTTAATCTGGAAGATTTAGAAAACACGACGCAACGTCTAAGACGACATGAAAATAGCGTAGCAAGAGCCATTTTTTGGCTGATTGAAAACATTGAAAAGAATGACCAGGAGACACGAACACAAAAATTTGCTTCGAAAAAGACAAAATAAAGTCCCAGATCAAAGTCAGAAGTATAAACGCGAGGTGCAAACGCCATTTTCATGTTGTCTTAGACACGTACGTCGTCGCGGCTTGTTTGATAGTGATCGTAGATTAACATGACAAACTGGTCCGCAATATTTGAAGAGCTGAAATATCTTCAGACTATAATAAACTGATTTTTTGTTTTAGAAATTTAATTCCACCAAATTTGGTAGAGGCAGCATTGAAATCCGTAAGTAGCTATGTAACATCTCAAAAACCCCTAAAGTGCTTACGTCACGCAATTTTCAATCCATCATAATCAAAACATTATAGGTACACGCAATGCAATGTGGGATGAATGTAGGTAAAAAATTCATTGTTTGACGCTGTATATGTATTAGCCTTAATCTTACACGTCCCCTACGGAAATCATCGAAAGATGTTAGGGCCAACGTGTTTAAATAAATTATGTAAGGACTTCTAAAGTCAATTATTACTTTAATCTAAGAATTTTTAATAATTTTGAATTTAATAAGGCACCGAGATACACTACCGTAAACTTCCGACTATAAGCCCTGGGCTTATATATTTTCGTAAGCGATTTTTGATGGGTTTATACGAGGGTGGGGGGGGGGGCTTATATACGGGGGGGCTTATACATGGACGATCTTTTGTGTTAGTAATAAACAAGTCAGACATAAACAAGTCAGTCATAAACAGGGAAATAAATGTGTATTAAGCAGCGATTACTGGGCTTATATTAATTGGGGGACTTATATTCGGGGGGTTTATATTCGGGTAGGCTTATATTCGGGGGTGGGGCTTATATTTAGTTAGCACATGTTGTGGGCGTATACACGGGGGGGGGGCTTATATTCTGGGGGGCGATTATAGCATTGAACTATAAATAAACTGGAAGGCTAACTCAGGGGGGGGGAATTGAAGCCAGTGCATTTTAGTTTTTCTGAGTTATGAGCAGAAATACTCAACACTGAACGTTGGGCTATATATCAAATTGAAGCTATTGAAAAACGCTATTTGGTGTAGAAATTTCAAGACTTTAGCTAAAAGGGAAATATTGAAAAACTACAAACATAATTACCGATAATTTGTCGTTTTGCAGTTGTTTTTGTATTTTTTAAATATTTTTCTTTTGGCTGAAGTCTTGAAATTTCCACACCGAATAACAATTTTCAATAGCTTCAATTTGATATATAGCCCGACGTTTGGGGTCAAGTATTTCTGCTCATAACTCAGAAAAACTATTTTGGCTTCATCAAATCATAGGCCTTCATCATAGCAGTTAGCCTTCCAGTTTATTTATAGTTCAATGGATTATAGTCGGAGGTTTACGGTATGGTATTTTGCTGTTTAAGGTAATCGGAAATTCGATGGTTCTGTCAGTTTCAGGGTTGCATGCGAAACTAATTTAGGTTTAATGATAAGTCGAAGAGAAGTTTGTTTGTAAAATTCAAAATATGTCACTTTTATCTTTAACAAAACCTCTGATAAATATAAAAATTACAATAGTCTGTGCATGTTTATTCTCTTTAGACCCAGACGACCTACGCTAGTAAATCTATCAACTATCTTCGAAAAAATACAACCATTCCCCAACCGGCCGAAGGTGTGGCGAAACTCCTTAAAGATAACATGGTTGTGCCATGGAGTGAAATCAATGGTACACAAGTGGTGATGATCACGAATGATAAGGATTACACATTTTCTGGCACAATTGAGAAGGATGGTACGAATTTTATGGGTCTTATCGTGTTCTCAATTCTGCTTGGTGTGGTTCTAAGAAAGTTGGGGGAAGATGGCCGTCCATTGTTGGACTTTTGCAGATCTTGGATGCATGTTGTTATGATGTTAGTGACTTGGATTATGCGGTAAGTCTATGTAGTCTTATGTGCATGAATGACTCTTTTGGTATTGACATATTTTTGAAGCTCCACTATATCGCTTTGAATGCCCAACCTCGTACCCAGGGTCTTTCCTCTTGTGGAGAAAAACCCTGGTAGACGCTGGTCACGTGATCTGCTAAAATCTAGCAAATTTCTAATTAACTACAAAAAGAAAATTATAAATTAAACTATAATCTTCATACTCTGCTCAATAGGTGCGGTACTTTAACCTTCATTAATTCTAGTTTCCATTCAACTGTATGGTTACGGCGTTCAATACAGTTCAAGTGGAAAAACACGGTTTTAGTAGGTTGGTTTCCCTTTAAAAGGCTAAAGCGTGTTGTATCGGTAAGAGGGCCTTCGTCTGGAACCATGCAAAACCTGATTGTTTTTTGAACATACAGTGGGATTTGGAGAACTGCCAAAAGTTTCACTATCATAAAGCGCATTTGAATAGTTTTACATAATCAAGTTTTGGTTAATTCTCTTTCTCCTCCGCATACAGTATACAGCCACCTTAAGTATTTACATTAAGTTTCCTGAGTAATGTGTTTTTCCTTAACACATAGGGTGTCTCCACTTGGTATCTTAAGTCTAATCGCTGGAAGTTTGGCTGAGGTTGAAGATATCTTGAAGACATTCAAAGATGTTGGTCTGTTCGTTGCAGTTAACTGTGTTGGTTGTTTTATCCAAGCATTTATCGTATACCCTTCATTGTACTTTTTCTTTGTGAGAAAGAATCCATTTGCTTATTTGTCTGGTATAGTTCCTGCCATAATCACTGCATTTGGAACAGCATCAAGGTACATGACAGTTTATAGTTTTATTAATATAGAAATTCTTAAAAGTACAACATACTACGGTTTCTTCATTATCAATTCCTTTCTTTAACCTTTAATTTAAGGATATTGCATGGCACAAGAATTTAAATTGATGCATAATTATATAGTTAAGGCGGGGGAGCACCTAAAGGGCAAATTTTCCAGCTCAAATATTCACGAATCCATTTCTCAGTAATCTTGAAAAAAAAGGAAACAATTTCCAGAGCAGCTGGTTCATGCAATCTATGTGCTCTTTTTTACGTCTAGTTTTTCCATGCAGGTAAAATGTTTTCCAAAGTATATAAACCTTTTATTTGCTGCAATTAAACAATTTTACTAGCATGCAATGTAGGCTTTCTTAAATCATTTCAGTAATTCATATCCCATTCTCCCACCTCTTCAAGACCCTCTTAAAACAAGAAATAGTTAGACGCCTCAGAGTGCAATAATCCCGGATTTTCAACCGTACCGCACTGGTTCCCCAGTATCATTGCCACTTATGTAAGCTGATACAAACTTATATTATAGGAATCAAGGTGTACTTAGTCTGATAAATTGCATAAACCATACTTGTTTTCTGAATGGCATTCCTGCAGTAAGTATTACTATCCAACAATGTACATATCGTAACAGTAACCAAATGGTATCTCCGGTTCATTGTTGAACTGGTTCTCCGACTATTTGAGCGAAAGACGTCAGCGAGTAGTGGTCGACGGAGTGTCATCCTCGTTTCTCAGTGTAACATCAGGGGTGCCACATGGCAGCGTACTCGGCCCACTTTTGTTCTTTATTTACGCAAACGACCTCTCAAAGGCAGTGAATCATAGCACAGTGCCCATGTTTGCTGATGACAGCAAATGCTATCGTCAAATTACCCGACAACGAGATAGAGATCATCTTCACGATGACCTAAATTCCCTCCACCAATGGTCTAAGAAGTGGAACTTAAATTACAATGCGAAAAAGTGTGTTGCCCTCAGATTCTCACGAAAGAAAACCTCCGTTCCAGACTTATAAAGTCTTCTTCCACGCAGAGCGATTTGGGTATCCTGGTGAGCAATAATCTAAAATGGTCCCTACATATCGTCAATATCGTTTCTAAAGCCAACAGAATGCTTTGGTTTCTGCGACGCAATTGTTTTCACCTCACTGACGTGCTTGCTCGCCGCTTTCTGTATTTGTCTCTGGTCCGCTCTCACTTATCGTTCGCTTGCGAAGTCTGGGTTCATCTCGAAGGAATTCAACGTCGAGCTACAAAGTTTATTCTTCAGGACTATGAAAAACTACATCTAATCCCCCTCTCATGCTGGCATGAAATTAAAGACATAATATATTATATTCCTCTATACAAATGTAAATCCAGGATGTACGAACTTGACATCAATCAGTATATTACCCAACCTCTTCACCACTCCACTCGTTTCAGTTCTGGTGATCTTCGTCCAAACCTGTGTAAAACCTCCCTCTTCCGTACTCATACTTTAACAGAATTGTATTTTTATGGAACAATTTACCGTCTGATATCAAATAATCTTCGTCAGTCGCCATGCTTAAAGTGCTGCTGCAGCGAATTCTTGGACCTAGTTTTTTAGCTTAAATAAAAATTCCGAGTCTTTTAGAAGCATTTTCATATATATTTGACCATCATGCGATGCTTAGAAGTTGGCAAATTTAACCTCTGAAGTTGGTTATCGCGTGCGAACTTTTCCGCCGCCATATTGATGCCGTGTGATGTCATAAGATGAACGGAAACGAAGATATGAAGGTCGTATTTGTAGTAAATTATATGGCGCGTCAACATATTGCAGTGGAATTTTTGTCTATTTCACTTGTTTATGGCGCAGATAACTGATTTTGAAAAATCGAAGAACAAGTGCTATATCTTATTGTTTATTTGACGGCGGAATGACGGTTAGAGACTCAGATAATACATGTAGGATCAATACTACAACTGGAAGTCAACGAGTATGGACTCGGCTAAAGGCGGATTTCCAGTCCTCGCACGAAGCTCCTCGCAGCTCGCTGCGATTGATGCATGAGCACTTTCATCCAATCACAATGCTAAACAGTTCATTTTAATTAGATGCAAGCACTCGCAGCGAGCTGCGAGGAGTTTCGTGCGAGGACTGGAAAACCGTCTTAAGTTGGCTTTGAAATACGATGAACCAGTTGCCTAAAGCTTTTATACAGCTTCACTAGACGAAGTGATAGATACATTATATAACGCCGCTGCAGATATAGGCACCTACCATCTGTGACTATGTTGGAGCAATCAAGCGATAGTACAATACCGGTAAAATTTAATAGTGGTAAGTAGATCCTTTTTATTGCATGTATATTCATATTGTATTGTATTGTGCTCGCCTCGGTATTGTGTCTGATTGTTTGAACACATCTGGTGTGTGCAACTTAAAGGTAGGTTACAGTCGCATCTGCGCATGTGCTAGACTTTTGTTTATGTGGGGACACACAGGAAGTTGTCATCCTCTGTTTGTGCTCGGTCCAGTCTCATTTCTGGCAATAACACGCGCGTTGTTTTTATAACGCAAGTGAATTTAATGCCCAAGGAGCGAAGAAGTTTCCAAAATGTTTTGAGCTTTTTTGAGCGACAGTCCGTCAAATAACGAGTTACTGAGGCAACATGACGAGTAGGAAAGGATACTACGCTAACAGGAATGCTTCGAAAGTGTATCAAAGTGTATCTATTTTATTGTTTTCCTCGATGGAGAGCGCACCATTTCTGCGTCTGCCCATGAATGGCTATGATATACCTGCATCCTCAAGCTTCTACCAAAGGTTGTCAAGAAACGAATCCAAGAAGGATTGGAGATTTCTCCCAACATAGCTGCAATGTTGATCCTTCAGAGAAATCGCTTGTTTTAAAGCCCATCAATCGAGGTTTTAATGACTATAAAATTTTCTATATTACACTATTTCACTATCGTTAATATATACGAACTGTTTATCTATTTTATTTACAAACTGAAACCCATAATATAATTATAAAGGCCTAAAGATATGATACTCGTGAGTAGTGAGTTGTCGATGAAAAAATAATGAACAATTTGGACTTTTGGATGAATGTTTATATAGACGTGTTATTGTCACTTGTCAGTGATAATCTACTTGGCTGTGGCAGTGCGTTAATTACTGTCTTTGACTGTCTGCTCATGGACAACTTGTGCTCACTTAAAACTTAATAGAAACACATCAAAAGTTAAAGTAGATTTTAATTTGATCAAAACACATTAACAGTTTATATGCCTTTTAGTTGCTCTGAAGTTACAGTACTTGACCTAATGGGGTGTTTATATGGAGGCAAGCCAGCTCGGGTGCCTGAGCTAGCTCGCTTGGCCGAGATCTAATGTTGCTAGATAATTTATACTAATATTCGTATTGTGTGTATATGAGAACCAGGCTGGCTTGCCTAAGCGAGATCTTGTTTAATTTGTGAAGCCCGACAGAGCCCCAGATCTCGCCTAGGTTGGCTGGTTTGCTAAGCCGCTGAATACGAATATATTGCCAATTACTAATTGTAGTAAATAAGACTTTCTCAACAGATTTTCAATCTATAGTTTTAAAAATTAATGCCTCTGTGAACAGTTGTGACGGTCATAACCATGAGTTTCTCGCGATGATTTGTTTTGGTGCCAGCCTGCTACATGATGAAATTAGCTAGGCAAAGACACCTAGCTCAGGTAACCGGGCTGGCTTGCCTCCATATAAACACCCCTAAGACATTTAGTTTATAAAAGATTTTGATCACAAATACTTATATGATGTAAACAAACTCAACTAATAATTACTAGTATATTTTCCACCCTAATTGTAAGTAAAGCTTGCATATAAGAACCTACTGTATATAAGGGCCTGTCAGGCTAATTTTTCAGTATTTAGACACCCAATCTGTTTAGGCTAGTATTTCAGGTTCTTATTTTATCACATGGAGACCAGTCAGATCTAAAAATGTATAAAAATCAAAGAGAATAAACTCTTCACAAAGTAATGAAAATGATCCAGATCCCTGAAAATGTCATTGAGATAAATAAAGTCTAAATTTACAGTGCATACAGCTTTGTATAAGTGCATAATTATATACTGGCATTTTTAGATGATCATGACTGATATAGTTACTATACAATTGTCTTGTCCAAAAGTGGGGTCTGGGGGTTTGAAATCAGAGCTTTCTTTCTCCTAGATGGATTGCCAGACAAGGCTTATGAGCTCCATCTACACAAAGCAATCTGGTTTTATGGTGCCAGACACTTGCCAGTTCATATTGTACTATAATTGCCTGATTTTGTGTCACAAAGAGTGGCACCATCCCATTATCTATGTTGCCAGAACAGGCTGCCGTACATGGTCTGTTTTGGGACAAAATTAGACAACACAGTAAAACCTTGTGAATAAGAACCTAGATTTTTTCCAAGTTAGCCTAAACAGGTTCTTATGTAAATGGTACTTATCTGATTGTTCATGTTACAAACTGTAATTATATTTAGTAGTTATATTCAGTATTCTCAGGGCGCATATAAAGGCTATAAATAAAGCCCTGGAGTCATGTTTGTGCTTTACCCCTTGGAGTTCTCCTTTAATGTCTGTATATATATATTACCATATCAACCCAATAAATCTGTTGAAAAAAAGAAAGATTCGTTGATGTAAATCAAAAGTTCATCAGTGTTTCCTGGGCATTCTGATAAGCTCTGATATAGAGCGAAACACTGCATATATTTAGCAATTGTCCTCCGTCTTGAAGAGACATGATGAAGTAACCTGATCACCAGAATTGTTGAAGCTAATATTAGATCATTCAGTGTCACAAGAATACCATCATTTAGTGTCAATATGAGAGTAATATCAATGAATTCATACTTCCAGTTCATAATTTCAAAACATACATTTTTATAACACAAAAAAGTTGAATATAATCTTAGTGTCTCGTACGCTCGTCACTGTCGATCTATTGAAGACAGGAACTGCAGCCACATTCTCAATCACACTTGTTTCGAATTTCGTCAAGCGAAAAGCTTTCTCCAAGTGCTTCTGTCATAATGACAACAACAACTCTGGCAACATGTTTCGAGGGATTGATACCGCATGAACTGTTTTCGTGATTAGACACAAACTCCAAAGGTAAACACTAAACACAAATTATTCGAACTCACACCTTCGGGATTTCGGTTCGCCGCCCCAGCTGTTGATACAGCAAGCCACACAAGGTTCAAAGCGGCTTCTTTATTCACAATGTTTACAGTTAAAACGTTACAGTATAAAGCCCCGTTTACACGAGCAAATTTTATTTGACAAATTTCATATGACAAATGCATTTGATCAAAAGCTAGCATGCTAGCTTTTGTTCAAATGCATTTGTCACAATAAATTTGTCACAAATGCATCATCCACACGAGCAAAATATCTTTGACATATGAAATTTGTCAAATAAAATTTGCTCGTGTAAACGGGGCTTAAGATTGTGTTATTGTGTATAAAAATTTCCAGTGTAGAAATGTACAAGAAATGCAGCGAAGTATTGTAAAACATTGCACTCCTCGGTCACAAATTATGTGGAATGTGACTTGAAACTCGTCATATACTTCATCTTATATAATTAATGTGGATCAAAACAAAAAACGTAAACAAAGTCCAGCACATGCGCAGATGCGACTGTAACCTACCTTTAATATTTATTATAAACTGGATTGTGCGTGACAAAAAATATAATAACGTTTATAAACACAAGCATATTCATAGCCTAATAATTCGCAATACTCAAAATGATTTTGATTTTGTTTTCAATAGATAGCGATAGGTGTAATTGGCAATTATGGGGGTTCTATTGATGGCTAATTTTACTTGGATGGGAAAACAGAAGAAAATAATTTCCAACAACAAAGACACAGCTACCTTACCTTTGAACAGAAAAGCGGTCGACATTAGTTGGATTAGGCAGATTGTGACTGAGTCAATTAACCATTGAGTCAAAATTGTACCATGCACTGTGCAATATAATAACATTTAGTTACTGTAATACCATAGTTGCCTCGAAATCCTTTGTCTCGCGAGGTACGATTAATCACTACTACCTAATTAGAACTAATTTTACCACGGGCAAAATTTGAACTAGTTCTAATTTTCCCCTGCATGCTTGATGAGGGAAATTTAGAAGACAAAAGCGTACCACCTCATTACCTCTGATTGGAGAGCTGTACCTCATCGAAAATCATCGGCACAACTATGGACAGTATCTGACGAGACCGTCCCGTACACATTCGAACAATCACTTTGCCAGCTTTTATTCCCTAATCTTGAACATTACAATTGTGGGAGAAAATTCCGTTTATGCGCATGCCTAAAACGCCAATGGACACGGAGATGTGTTTCTGCGCGTGCGTATATATGAAAAGTGTTCGTACCACAATCATAAGACAATCAAACAGCATTCAAAACAGGCAACACACCACGCGCGGATTCCCTCGGCAACTATGGTATTACAACGTAATAGCATGGCATTACGGTCGATTAGTGATGAAATGTCCCTCAAGCCTCGAGAGGTTTAGTAAAAGTCCCTCAGCGCTACCTCTCTCGGCTTTCGGGTACATTTAATCACTGATCGCCCTGAATGCCATGCTATTACTTATAATAATATTTTGAAATTATATTAATCTTCAAAGTAACCAGTTAAGTTGCATCCCTCATGTTTTGTACGCTGCCTATTATGTCTATTATGTGAGGAATATATTTGTGCACCAGTACAATATTATACTATTGTTAATATATTTATTGTTACTTTGTATTATTGATATGTAAGAGTTATAAACCGAGTAGGAGGTTTATAACTGATATATTGACGCGTCCGAGGGGCAATATATCAGTTATAAACCGACTTACTCGGTTTATAACTAACTTATATCACACTTGCGGAGGTTTTCCAACATATTTTGTCATTTTCAAAAATTTTTAATGAAAAATTCTCGCGTTTTGTCTACAAGTTTAATCCAATCATTTATTCAAGGTCTATAAGCTAGTTATAAACCTCGGACGAACAAAGAAAACCGACGCAAGTGCGATATAAGACTGAATATAACTCCAATGACAGTGTTTCTCTCAAAATGTCATCAGAAGTCTCGACGAAACCAGGTCAAGGCATGCTGAATTGTTGTCTTTATTTCAATCTCAAGATGCTCTGGTGCCCTGGACAAGAAACTAACTTAACAGGAGATAGTCTTTTTACAACCACAAATGATCTAAAACATAATAAATGTTAAACACTTTAGACTAACTATATATAACATCATTTGCGCAAAATATTCACCATGTGTGTGAACATATTAATTTGTACTTTACTAGGCTATATACCTGAATTATTTGCCTTGCGTCTGTTAGTTGTACTTTAGTCAGGGGGACAATTCTAGCCATGTAAATTGTATAAACAGTTTCTTCCTTCAATATTCTTTCCATTTTACGAGGTTTTGTCAATGAAAATAAGATATAGCACGAATCTTCAAAACGGGCTCAATCAAAACACTATAGGTTCGCAGATGCGTGAAAACCCGGTCAATGTTTACGGATAAAATTCACCGACTTTCTTTCACTCTGAGTCGGTGGATCTGTTCCTTTGTTGGGAAATATATGCATGGGTATTCCTTCAGGCTGTTCAGAATTCGTGCAATAATCTAAGTTAGAACTGCCAGAAACACGGTCTTCGTCTCCGCGTTTGTTGGTTTTACCATAGGTAGCCCAGACACACTGTGCGATTTAAATTTAAATGCTTGGCATACTTAATTACCCCTTGCGGTATCGATTTCAAAATAATAATGTTAACGATCAGCTCAAAAATATTCCGAATTTTTACACCAAAATGTATCACTAATCAATGCTTATCGTTGAAGGAAATATACTTGGGTACATAGCATGCGCATGCATC